CCCTGAAGGAGCTGGACAAGGCCTCTGGAAACAACCTGGGGGGTCAACTTGTTGACAGAAAGTTCAAAGCGTTTCTTAAAGTGATTTTCTGTGAGGGTGTCTGGGATGAATATGAAAAAAATTATCCCAGTGAGGTCCAGAAAATGATGTACGACTTCACTCGCCTCAAACAGGTCGATGACGACGTTGCGATCACCTGCTCATTTAACCTGGGAAGACTGGCTCAGAAAGAGAAAGACATAGAAGAGTTCTTTGAGCCAGTGGAAGGTGTCACCTGGGATGATGGTTCAATCAAAATCTCCAAAGAAAGGCTGAGGGGTTTCTTTGCTGAGAGTCTGGATGGCATCACTGAGAGTCTCAGAGAAATCTTTAAGAAAGATTTCAGGATTGAGTTCATTCTGTTGGTGGGGGGCTATGCTGCCAGCCAGATACTGCGCCAGCACATTACCAGGCAGTTTGGGGGTAGATGCAAAGTCCTTTGTCCTTCTAGGGCTCAGGAGGCAATCGTAAACGGGGCGGTGCAGTTTGGAAGAAGCCCAGAGTTGGTGACATCCCGGAAAAGTGCCTATACTTATGGGGTTGAGATCTGTACTGAGTTTGACGAGTCCGAGCACAAGGCAGAGAAGAAGTTCTCCGCTGAGGGGTCCGAGTTCTGTAGGGACATTTTCAGTAAGCTGGTGGAAGAAGGTGAGGATGTGAGTTGGAATGAAACCAGGTCCTTCTCCTTTTTCCCAATAGAGTCCAACCAGACCGCAGTGAGTTTGAGATTTTTTCGCACAGAGAGAAAAAATCTGGTGTATGTAGATGATTGGGGGGTGGAAGAGGCCGGCTCCTTTATTGTGAGTATGCCGGATACCGCAAAGGGTTTAAACCGTGAGGTCAGGCTGGACATCCAGTTTGGATCTGCAGAGATAGCAGCCACAGCCACAGATGTGAGCTCTGGGTCCAAAGGATCCATAAAGATTGATTTCATGACCAAATCCCAACAAAGTGGGAACGTCAACCAGAGCAAAGCTGGTCAGTGCTTCGTCTCAACCGAATGAGAACATGAGACTGACCAAACAAGTCACTCATGGATCCAATTTGAGCACGTTTTACTTCAATTTTAAGTCTTAATAAGTCAAAGATTTGATATTCCTGCGTTTTTCATCCAATGGGAGTTTTTGGTTAATGGGAATGGGATCAAAGTCTTTTTAGTAAATGCCAGAAACGCTAACTCTTGTGCTTCTTAAATTTAGCAAGACTTAAATGGTTATATATGTAAATCAAATTAAAGCTGATGGCTTTGGGTTGCATTGGTTATTTT